TATATATATCACATATCATTTAAGTGTTATTGTAATGAGGTTTGTTGATAATCTGCCTCTTCATCCACATACAGCATTCAGAAATTGATCAACAGGATCAGCAGTGCTCTCTAAAATCTGGGTTTGTAAAACATCAAGACCAAAGTGCATTTTTTGGTTAAATGTTTGCAATGCAGTTACACAGACTAAGAAGTAAAAAAGAGAACAGATCTAAACAATTCAATTGAAGTCATGTGTTTGAGAGGATCATCATTCTTTCTGCCCAATATTTAAGTTTTTTTTTTACTATGCTTGTGAGCACAGGAACTCAAAAAAATTAGACAAATCAAAATCATTAAGAAAGAATAATTCAGCCATTTGTGTGTAACCCCTCAGGGAAGAATAAAGTTATAGTAAGTCCTGATGAAGGATAAATAAACAAAGAACTAGCTGTGCACTGTTGTGTATGTGCAGTCTATTTGCAATGGGTGTGTCAGAGGAAGTTTTGCTGTAGCCCAGATAGATAAGAAGTGAGCGACAGCCACGTGCTACTCACACACGAGGGAAAAGAGACACACGGTAAGACCAACAAAGCTCCAAAGTATTATGTTGTAGGTCTTTTCCTTTAACACTTGGAAAACTGATCACAGTGGGTCTTTAAAGCCAGCTTCCTTTATGTTTTAATTCAACACAGGGAGCTTATCCAGCTTTAGTTGTTATTAAGGAACTGTTGGCCATTTGTTCAGGTCATGACAGTGTTTACGGTACTTTATTCCCAGTAAGTGGTATTACCAGTAAGACAGGTGAGACAACCAGCTACAAATTCTACATTTAGTGTTAATAAACATTGTTATTTGAGAAGTTATTTATCACAAATCAAACAAAAAAATATTGCTATTGTTCAAATGGGACTGTTTTTCATATATTTTGTTTTCCACAGATTGAGTTTGTGTTTCATGGAGATTATTTTAGATTAGATGTAAAGTAGATTTAATGAAAAGTGGGGCAATAACGTAATAAATCATACAGCACATTATACACCCATGAACAAACTATTATACAGTAATAACAGAGCAATCCTCGAACAAGCAAAGGTCTTGTATAACATTTAATCTTGATTTGTGACCTTGATCTTAGAGCTGGAGTAATAAAATACAAATGTGTGTCAAGTTTTATTAAGTTATCTTGAGTGGATCAGAAGTTGTGGGTGGGACAAGTAAAGATCTGGTTGTAACTTTGACCTTGATTTGTGACCTTGATATTTGAGCTTGAATGGTGAACTTTGCATACCAAACCTCTTCTAGTGATGACGCATGAAGTTCTGTCTTGAGCGGATCAGAAGTTACGGGCAGGACAACAGACAGCCCTTTTGAAGGGCATACTGACTTAGCATATGTTTTACAAATACAATTTTAAAAAATAATCTGTAAACAGAATGTTTGCTTTGAATTGTTTTCTTAAATAAGAAAAAACAAAACAAATCTCCTTTAACGTTTTTACAGTTTCCCACGAGACGTCCCTCCTCGACCAGGTGTTGGAGATTATTATGAACGAGAAGCCGCCCAACAGTACGAGTCTTTTCCTAAACGAGGACGAGGACAAGCCCCAGCTGCCAGACGAAGGAGACCTGAGGAGGCGACTACGCCGAGCCATGGAGAGGAGAGCCAGCGTCATGAAGGAGAGGATCGGCTCCATCAACAAGAAGAGCCTGAAAGGTTTCCTCAAGAGGAACCTGTTTGTTCTGCTCACTGTCGCCGCAGTGGCTCTGGGTCAGCAGAAACCTCAATTTCAAACTGCTGTTTTGTCAGTACTTGACTTTCTTTGACTTGCTTTTGATTTGTGTGAATGTGTTTTTATTCAGGTGTGCTCCTGGGCTTTGCTTTACGCCCCTACAACCTGTCGCTGAGAGAGATCAAGTACTTTGCCTTTCCTGGGGAGCTCCTGATGAGAATGCTCAAGATGCTGGTGCTGCCTCTCATTGTCTCCAGTCTGGTCACAGGTTGGCTTTAACCCACACGCTTAATATTTAGGTTAGAGTATTTGTGAGTAGTCAGTATCTTACCTGCAAAAGGCAGTCAGAGCAATTTCAGTCAGGAGAATCAGGAATAAATTATCAGTAGTCAAACTAAACGTTGCTCAAAACAGAGCCCACTCCAAATCTCATTTTCACCACACAGCTCCGACTCAAACCTTTCACTGCAGTTTGAACAAACACTGTATTAAATATTTTATATCATTTACATGTTGAAGTTGTTTATATTGCTATAATTTTCTCAATGTCTGTGTTACAACATTAACTTCACACCATGGCTGCTAAAACACCCGATCAGTTAATCACAGTCAACAAAAACTAATGAAATTAGATAAAAATGGGACACCGTGTGTCTTTTGGGGGTGAATGGGGTCAGATAAGATAATATCTGTGTAAGACAGAATATATATGAAAAGAAATGCTCCACCTAAAAAATAAACTAACCCATTAAGTTGATTTTATTTACAAATTAACTTTATTTTTTCGATTATTATTCACTAGTCAACTTGTAAATTTGCAGACTAGGTTCTCAAAATTATTCTTACTGTTTTAGGCATTTCTTCTCTGGACAGCAAAGCGTCAGGTAAGATGGGTGTGCGTGCGGTGGTCTACTACATGGTCACCACCCTGACTGCGGTGTTCATTGGCATCGTGATCGTCATGATCATCCGGCCGGGGAGAGGCAGCCGGGACAGTCCGGTGGTTAAAAGTGGAAATATTGAACCAGTTCAGGCTGCTGATGCTTTTCTGGACCTCGTCAGGTAAGACGTCCAAGACTTTCATTATCTGAGTACAAGAAAAGATGTAATTATGTGAAAGGATCTATATTCTTGTAGAAAGTACAAACACGCACATGGTAAAATTACATTTAGATATTCTTGCTGGGTTATTGATAAATATTTTTTATAATCAAATAATTTAAAATGGTTTCAATTAGTTGGTGTCGTTCCATTTTTTAAATTTACTTTTTATTTTATTTTATTTTCGTTCAGAAACATGTTTCCTCCAAATCTGGTGGAGGCGTGCTTCATGCAGGTAAGGTTGTTCAGTCTTACAAACTGTGGTTCGTTTGACATTTGAAATAAACACCTTGACGCAATTAAATTTTCATATCTTATATCATAGCTTCTTCTTTATTTTCATTTCACACTAAATCAGGCTCACAGATAAACCATCGAGGCCTAAAGTTAGAACAAAAAACTTATTAAACACCGTTGTATTATGAATTTTAGAGTGTGTCATGGGTTCTATTTTAATGTTGCAGTACAAAACTGTGTACAAGAAGATTGTTCACACGAGGAATGTGACAGTGACTCTGAACCTCACCGACTCTCTGAATATAACAGAATCTAATCTGACCGTAAACTTCAGCAGAGTGCTGCACACCATACAGGTACACAGACACTACTGCGTACTCAGATCCAGCTGTACTTGCAGATACGATAAACCAGGTTATGCTTTTCCATCTCGTAGGAGACGGTGGAAGAAACTGTTCCTGTGTCTGGTTCCTCTGGTGGAGTGAACGCTCTGGGTCTGGTGGTCTTCTCCATGTGCTTCGGTCTGGTTATTGGCAACATGAAGCAGCAGGGCCAGGCTTTGAGGGACTTCTTTGATTGCTTAAATGAAGCCATCATGAGGCTGGTAGCCATCATCATCTGGTCGGTGAAGGCACACTTGCAGCTTCTCGTGTAAAACTTGTGACGTAATTCTGCAAGTGCTGCAGTTCATCTCCTTCCATCCTTTGTCTGAATTGCCTTTCCTCCCAGGTACGCCCCTGTCGGAATCCTGTTTCTGATTGCAGGGAAAATTGTGGAGATGAAGGACCTGGCGGAAGTGGGCGGTCAGTTGGGGATGTACACTGTATCTGTCATTGTGGGACTTCTCATCCATGGACTCTTTGTCCTGCCGCTGCTCTACTTTGTGGTAACCAGAAGGAACCCCTACAGTTTCATCGGAGGCCTGCTGCAGGCACTCATCACTGCCTTAGGGACATCCTCCAGGTAAATATCTTCATGTGAATGCTTTTCGGTGTTCTTTTCTCTCTGGCCGTACTTTGTGCTCATTTGATTTAGACACATGACTGCCCTCCCTGAGTCGTGATATAAAATTTCTCACCACTGTCACAGAGTGCTTCTTCATTTATTTTTAATTTGTTTTAAATTCTCAAAATAAATACGCTTTTGCAAAAAATTTGAGATGCTATGTTAAAGAAACAGCATTACATATCACTGTTTAAACTGCTAAACAAACATACAACAATTAGCCATTTCATTGTGACATTTAAGTGAAGTGAGTAACACTGTTTGTTCTACTATGCTTTTGAAGTACAAAAACTACACGTCCTGTTATTACATTTTTTGAGTCATTGTCCCTCAGTCTTTCTCATCCAGAATGGAAACCAGATAAAACTCTTTTACTTGTTCTCTATTGTCCACCCGGCCCTTGCTCTCATTTTTTGTCCTAATTCTCAGAGTTTTTTTTGCCTGCCTGATTGAATACTGATAGTAATAACAATAGGAGATTTCAAAATTCATGTCGATGTAGCTTAAGCATAGCCTTTAATAATTTAATATAATCAATTGGTTTTACCCAAAACGTCCGCACATCTACTCATTCTCATCATCATGCTCTTGATCTGGTTCTGACTTATGGCATAGATATTAGTACTTACTAAAACATCCTCAAAATCATGTTTTCTCTTCCCATTTTTTAAATAACCTTTGAGTTTACATTAACTGACTACACATTCACTGAGAGTATATTTCATTATAGCAGGTGCTTATCAGAAAATGCTGTAACCAAATTTAAACAATCTCTTCCATCAGTGTTTTCCTCTGTCTAGCAGAGTAATGCACCAGAGAGCAGTGACTTGGATGGTCTGATTGATAATTTTACAACTTCAATGCAAACTTCACTTGATAAAATTGATCTATTGAAATAGAAAGTAATCAATCAGAGGAAGCTGGTTCCTTGGTTCAATTCTGAGTTATGTACTTTAAAACAGGCATCTAAAGTAAAGTAAAGTAAAGTAAAGTAAAGTGCAATGTGTTGTCATCATTGTTTGTTCCCATACAATGGTGAAATTGGTTATCTGCATTTAACCCATTGCAAATGGGATACAGCATTGGACAACTATGTAGGTGCCTGGCGAGCAATTAGGGATTAGATGTCTTTCTCAAAGACATCGTGACATGTGGGAATGGCTGGGGATCGAGACTGGGACTTTTGGGTCCCGAGTTGGCTGCTCTGCCTCTACCCCATCTTGGCTTCAAAAATCTATAAAGCTGGAAAAAAAATAATGCTCCACTAATATGGAAGAATTTTATTTAACTTGGAGAGATAGCCTGCTAACATATAAGAAAGCACTCTGTAAAGCTAGAACAGTATATTATTCATTGTTAATAGATGAGAATAAAAATAAGTCCAGGTTTCTGTTCTGTACTATAGTTAGACTAATGAAAAATCCTATCTCCGTTGAACCATGTATCCCTACAACTATAAGCAGTGATGACTTCACACGATTCTTTTTAAATTAAATTATTTCGGTTAGGAAGAAAATTCAAATCATCCTTCCTACTATTGCCTCTGATTCCCTGTCAGATGAGGCAACTTTAGAAATATTACTAGAACCTGATTTATATTTGGACTGTTTTTGTCCTGTTGAGTTCTCTGAATTGTCAAAAAATATTATCTTCATCCAAACCATCAACATGTCTTCTAGATCCCATCCCAACCAGACTGTTTAAAGAGGTATTTCCACTAATTAATAAATATGTAATATTGGATCATTTTTCTCAGTAAATAATTGACCAAGTATATATATATGTCTCATTAGTTTAACCAGGTTTTCTTTCTATTTTTAGGACTTGTGTGAAAATCTGATGATGATTTAGGTCATATTTATGCAGAACTATAGACTAAAGTGTTCACAAAATTTCAAGCTTCACTGGATTAGATATGTATAGAAAACTTTGGAGATCTCAAACAAGATGTTTATTGTGCTTCTTTTTTGGTATGCACTGGGCAAGAATAAATAAAATGCTAACTTTGCAAATATGTAAATCTGTTTTTTAAGATGATGACTGTGGGTGTCACCATTTTGTTTGTGTTTTTTTTGCGTGTCTGTTTTGTGTGTGTGTGTTTGCTTCAGCTCTGCTACCCTGCCCATTACTTTCCGATGTCTTGAAGAAAATAACCACGTGGACAAACGAGTGACACGTTTCGTCCTTCCTGTTGGCGCCACCATTAACATGGATGGCACTGCCCTGTATGAAGCTGTGGCAGCCATCTTCATTGCTCAAGTAAATGACATGGACCTGAACTTTGGCCAGATTCTCACCATCAGGTAACTCAATTGACCTAAAAATACAGTACTCAGTAAAATTAAATGTGAAGTCAGGGATTTATTTAAATGTCCAGCCTTTCTAAACATGCACGATAAGTACCGGTACATTCTTTTGATGACAACTTAGCCAAGACTGCCAAATCAAAATATGTCTGTTTAGGCTGCCTTCAGGTCCAGGCCTCCATTGCAAAGGAAATGAGTGAACAGAATAGATTTTGTCTAGTTAAATAAAAGACAATAAATAAAATAATAATAATAATAAATTTGTCCAGAATCACTGATACCATTATTGTACAATTTCAGGTTTTTGTAACAACAAAACCGGATTAAAAGGAATGGGGTTATTAACATGTTTTTGCAGAACTTGGTGACTTCCACAGGAAGCACATCAAACATTTGAATAGGATGTGCTGGAGTAAGAAAACAAAATAAAACCTTGCATGACAGTATGCCATAAGAGAACTGACTGTTGAAATCCATTTATTGCACTTTGAATAACTCCTTCATACTAGCAGTGTTTCACACAGTCTCCAATAATCATGTGTGATAGTTTGTGGAAGGTGGTGCAATAATTTCTCGCGCTGCTTCATCACTGTACTACTGCCAGCAGGAGTGCACATGTGCTGTTTGTTTGTTTCCCTTCATGAGATGTCTCCACTCTCTTCTCCTTCCCTCCTACCGCCCACTCAGTATCACAGCAACTGCTGCCAGCATCGGAGCAGCAGGCATCCCTCAGGCTGGCCTGGTTACCATGGTGATCGTATTGACATCGGTGGGACTGCCCACAGAGGACATAACGCTGATCATCGCTGTGGATTGGTTCTTGTGAGTTCCCTCTAAATGTCAGCTTGATGGGGATTGGTCTGGGATTGCACCAGCCTAAATGTCACTGTTAAGCTTCAGAGAGACCAGAGGTCACACATCTTTGAAGGTTATTGATGCACAATGCAGAGCGACACATCAGAAAGCCACCTAGCATTTCTGTAGCAGTCCTATACCATTGCTTTTGGTCTGCAAGTCTCTTGTCTTCTCTGATGCCCTCTTTCTCTCTCATCGCCACAGGGACCGTCTGCGTACCACCACCAACGTGCTCGGAGACTCGCTCGGGGCCGGCATCGTGGAACACCTTTCCCGTGATGAGCTGCAGAATCAAGACGCCGAGGTGCGCAACTCTGTGATCGAGGAGAACAAAAAGCCCTACCAGCTGATCTGCCAAGAGAACGACTCATTCAACCACCTCAACAGTGAGACCACAATGTGAACTCAGTGGCGTCACCTGAATGGACTTCACTTCACACAGCAAATGTGCTTTATCTGAAGGGGTTGTTACCACAAGGGGAAAAAACACTAATCTTGATCAACTGAACCAGTTGATTTACTCCCAAAATACAGAAGAAACAACGCAAAGCCTCATTAGATTGACAAAAACTTGATATGATGTTTATTATTACACATCCAGAGGATTGGCACAAAATCCTGTTTATTTATTGAATAATGTCTAACAAATTTAAATAGTAAAAATAATGATTCAAGCTGAAATTATAACTCTTCCGGCTCATTGAAGCGATATTTCAGAGATTTTGAAGTGGAGTTTTTTATGGAAAGGTTCAGATATATTATGTCATCTGGAGTAAATAACTCTTTGGACAACCTAAATTTGAAGAAGCAGTTTATTTATTGTGTATTTTAACCTCATAAATTTCATAGCTGTTCATGCAAACACTGTTTTCTATACATTTACACCAGTGTCATGGTCATATTACTGCACGTGGATATTCAAACATGACGATTGTGACGATTTACAAGCATAAACAGGAGCATGTGCTGCCTGAAGCTTGTCCAGCAGGAATGTCCCAGGAAGAGTTGTGTGATGAAACTGTAGACCTAAAATAATAATAATAATAATAATGTGTTTGCATGAAATGCATCAATCTGGCGTGGTCTTAGCCCTGCTCAGACTAGCTGTTAGCTTGTCAGTTTGGCCAAAGTTAAACTTTATTTCTCTAAATTGCGGCTGTTCAAAGAGCTATCACAGGTTCAGTACTTTCTGTTCATAGCATTTCTACAGAAACCCACTTTGTAAATTGTGTAAATTTCTTGTATGTGATGTGGTCAAGTTTACTGTACTTTATAAATCTAAACTTACTGGCATCAGCGCTCAAAGATTGTTTTTTGCAAGTAAGCACATTTTAAAGTGCCAAACAAGCTGATTTTTTCTGCTATTATTATAAAAGTCTGAACATTTCAGCTCATTATCCCTACAAGACTAAACATAGTGAGAATATCTTGCCTTTTGTTGTTTTTCTAATCGTGACTACCTCTAATGGGAGCGTTAGGGTCGCTCCAAACTGTAGTGGTGGAGTTTTCACAATGCATCATAAAAGTTCACAAATTCAGCTGGATGTACATATGTTGGTATAATTATTTTTTTGTTTCTGACTTAAAATGTTGTTATTTGTTTGCTTACACTGCGTAAATCAAAGACTTTGAAAGTAACTGACTATTAAAACCTAAACCTTTTGGTGATTTAATAGATTTATTTAGAGCTCTTTCAGTGTTTATTTGGTGCTAATGTCATTAATTGATAACTGTTATGTGTACAGTATTGCAACACAGACTCACAGCTCTACAGCGTGGCTTCTGTTTTTATTTCATTCATTTTATTCGCTGAACTGGCAATTTTATTTTAATATGCTATAATAGAAACAATATGATTTACAAACCATTTATTGTTATGTTTTTAGGCTTTTGTGCAAACATGCAGTTAAAGTTTGAGAACGTTTTTTTTTAATAATTTGAACGTACAGTTGTTTTTATTAGACGTTGTGAATAATATTGGATATTATTTACTCTTATTGTGATTTAAAGCTCAGTGACTTTGGAACTAGTTTTTGCTCAAAGTTTGCCGTTGATTTGATGCTTGATGTCATTTTCTATTTGGGAGCAGCTCAACAGTTTTGATGGACAGCCTATTAAAAATGTTATGAATAAATGTCTCAGGAAGTGAACTGTGAATCTGATTATTGAGATTGTGGCTACCCCTTGTGGAGGATATTTTCCAGTTCAGAAGCTGTTATGTGTTCTTTTGAAAATAGATCAAATATTAATCAAATATTAATGCACTTCAGGTATTAGTTTAGTAATAAAATATACATTTAAAGGGAATAATTTATTTTTAATGTCAAGAAAATCTGCTTATATTCTGCTGGGGCAGATGGCAGAACAAATCTTATAAAAATATAAATTCCAACAACTTTTCTAGAATCACACACCCTTACTTTTAAACAGACTTTTTTTTTTTTACTTTAAAACTTCATAGAGAAACACACTTGATTGCTTTAACTTCTTTTTTCTAATTACTCTGTTTTTAAGTTTTTTTCATCAACCCAGAACAGAAATCAGATTTTTTTTAAATTTTCTTTTTCTTCTTTCGGCTGCTCCCTTCTTCAGGGATCACCACAGTGAACTAACTCGCACTTGGCAATTGTTTTTATGCCGGATGTCCTTCCTGATGTAGCCACAAACCACTGAGCTACCACAGCCCTCTGTGTGGAGCAGAGAGCTGACATCTAGGGCAGGGGTTCTCAGACTTTTTGGGTTCAGGGACCCCTTACAGGGGAGAAAAAGTTTCAGGGCCCCCCTCATAACCCTCATGTTTATTAAATAATTGTCTTCAATTTGTCTCTTTATAGTAATGGAAATATTTGTGTAACATAAATACTTAAGACCTGTTCTTTAATAGTGTTAATACAATTTTTATACTTTTAAACACGGGGCATTTTTCATTCAAGACACACTTAATTAACAAAATTTTAATTTCAACTCCCAAAAATGGCAGTTTTAAGAAAATTAACAGCATCAAAAACCACATTATTCACATAATGAACATAATATATGTATTGTCACGTCTTCAAATTATTACAGAAAACTCTTTACATGAAACTGAATAGAATCATAACAGCAGTAGTCAGACCAAGTAACAGGGCTTAGTTTGTAAACCGATTGATGAAGGAAGGCACATATGAAAGCAGGCCAGGGGATGGGGTGTCTGGGGGTCCTCCTTCAGAAACTTTTAAATAAAGTAGATGTGATTTCCTGCATTTTGGTGTATTTTAATGGGTTGTTAAACATCTATGTGCGTCTAAAAAAAATAATAATAATTTGCAGACCCCCGGGGTCTGAGGATCCCAGTTTGGGAACCATTGATCTAGGGCACCCGGAGGAGCAAATGGTGGAGGTTGGAGGCCTTGCTCGAGGGCCCAGAGTGGTGTAAATGAAGATAGAGGCAGGTGTGGGTGCTTCACCTTTCCCACCCATATTTTTTTGTTGTCTGTTTGGGGAGTTGATGCGCCAACCTTCTGATCACAGGTTCGCCTTCTCTAACCACAGCGACACCACTCCCCACAATATGGGTCCCCCCCCC